TTTACAGCCCTCTCTAAATGGTTTACAGAGTCAGCATATTGCCCAACAATCTGAGTCCTCATTTTACTGACCTCGGAAGGATGGAAGGCTGAGTCAACCCTGAACCTATCAGGATCGAACTCCTGGCAGTGAGCAGAGTTAGCCTGCAATACTGCATTCTAACCATTGTGCCACCAGGGCTCAGTGTCTTTAGCTGAATCTGTAGCTCCAGTAATTGTGAAACTGATGTTGCTATATGACAAATTATGCTTTCCTCTTGCAGTTTACTTCTCCCCTATAATTATCTCCTAGGCAATCTGCACCTCACTTGCTCTTAGTCCCCCCTGTAAGCTACTGTACTGGCATACTAATAACCCTACACTGGAAATTGGCACCTACTGTAGGAATTCCTTCCAGCTTGAACCAGTTGCACACCTGAAGCAACCTCCTGAATGGGTCCTCTGAGATTGACAGTCCTCTGAGATTGACAGTTGGCCACATTACGTTGGATGCTAGAAGCACTTCAGTTCCAAAGCCTGTTTTCTCATCTGACTTCAGAGGTGGTCTGTTTTCTCAGGCAGTCCATCAGAAGGCGAGGCAATTGTCTTTGACATCTCTTTGGGAGGTCAAGTTTTATGGCTCAGTAAGGGACTCGTGACAGTCCTGGACCAAAAATAAATTCTCAAATTAGCATCGCAGCGATGAATTCAACAGCTTAGGCTTGTCAGGCTAATATGCCAGCATGGAATCACTCCAAACTGCGAGAGCAGCTGAATTCAGATGGAACAGATTCATGCAAAATCTACAGATTTCAAGCAGGCTCTGTATACCAAGCATACATACAAGCATAAACAGAACCTATAAAAGAGAGAGAGTGAGAAAATGGAAAGGGACTGGTGCTTTACATGCGAAGAGGATTTTCTAGGTGTTGGCTTAATATTCACTTTAGTCAATATAAGATTGAGGATATCCACAATGGGAATCCCCACTCAATCTTAAACCCAGGTGTTTTTATTCAGCCTAGTCTAGGTTGCAGTGAAGACAATATGAAGTGGGATAACTTGGTCACTTTGGGGAAAAGATAAGTTAGGTCACAAATGAGGATCAGAAAGTGAAGAATGATATTATTTGGTTTGTTCTGAACTTTATTTTGCTTTTGAGCTACGTAACCTGGTCCAAATAATATCATTCCTCACTTTCTGATCCTCATTTGTGACCTAACTTATCTCTTCCCCAAAGTAACCAAGTTATCCCACTTCATATTATCTTCACAGCAACCCAGACTAGGCTGAATAAATTCGGTACATTTTGGGTATCTTGTATCTGGTTTCATGTGTAGATTATTTTGCATAGATCTTGTTTTAGAAGCCTTTTCATGAAAAGGGGAAAACTATTCACAAGCCACAATTTCTGCAGACAAATAGTAATGTAAGCAACATGGAGAGGACACTGAGTACCAGTTAGCTGGCTCACTATACTAAAGAATCTTTTCCAGCTTTCCTTTACAGTCTCAGAAATAACGTTAGAGCTTCCCTGATTTAGGTGTATTTTTTTAAAATTGCAATTATGGCACCCTTGGATTTTGAAGCTTTTCATATCGAAAGGTCTTTCTTCTTACTTTCAGATACAGATTTGACATTGGTCATTGGTGCAAACGATACCGTGAACTCTGCAGCACAGGAAGATCCCAACTCCATTATAGCCGGCATGCCTGTATTGGAAGTTTGGAAATCTAAACAAGTAAGCAACAACAAGAAACTGAGAGGGCAGGGTTGTGACTGTTTCTTCATTAGAGGAAAAAAAAATACCTAACACACAATGTAAAAAGAAAGGGGTCTTTGTCCCCAAATATGAAAATGTTGCCTTCGTTGCAGTGCAGGCTGTTATTATGATACTTCTTTTGATGTCATCAAATCCTCCAGTTGACACAAGGTGCAGTTTCTCTGGAAGAAGGAATTATTCTAGCATCTAAGGGACAGCACAACAGAAAGTTTGCTGGCACTGCAGAGTCAACAGTCATGTTGGCTGGGAAATGATGAGAGCTGAACTCAAAAGACCTCAGAAAAACACCGAGTTGGGAAGTAAGATGAGGATATTTGATTAGACAATAATCTAAACGAGGATGTCCTGCTGGAGAATCTGGAAAGCTCTCTAGATTTAATAAGTATAAATATAAATAAGTTTTTGCATTCGACAGCAATGCATTCTGATCCAGCTGGGCCCTGCTTATGTCCTTATGACTATATGGTGGCTCAGGAGAGCCAGAGACTGTGGGTCACATGCTCCTTAGATGTTCCTTTTATATGGAGATTAGGAAAAAAACATATTCTGCCAATAACTGCTAGGTATCCTGACGGTTCCAACACTACCTATCTTCAGTGGCTGCTTAAGGATGAACAGTCCGTAACTACAACACAGGTGGCCAGATTCTGCGCAGCAGCACTGGGGATTGATCACAAACATGTGTCTTCTCCACCATAGAGATGTTATATAACAAATGTGGCTAATCCTTTGCACCGCTTAGTCATTCCCCTTTTAACATTGAACCTATAACGGGCCACACTGTTTAGGGATTGCAACAATTGTATAGTCAGACCATGTATTATTGACACTGGCTTTATTATAGATTTTAGTTGTTATTTATTATTTTATACTAGAAGTTTTAAGTGTATATATACTGAGTGCTTTTATTATAGTAGTAATACTATACTACTGAGTGCGTAATAATAAATTGTTGTTGTTATATGGTCGTTGCCTTGTGCTAAACAGTAGAATCTGAAATATTGTATTTTTAGAATTTAAGCCATGAGGAAGAATTGAGGGGAGAGAATAGGCTTAGTCATGAAAGATGATTGATGGGGAATAGGAGAGCACTGTTCAAATATCAGAAAGAGGGATGGAAGGAGGTGAAGACCTGCTCTTCATCATCCCGATGGGCAGGACATAAAACAATGTAGTTAAATTACAGGAAGGCAGGTTCAGGTTGAATATTAAGGGGGGGGGGAAATCCAATATAAATTCCTAATGGTAAGAGCAGTTCCACAACACTGGAACCAATTACCAAAGTCATCTGCTTGGAATGATTTAATTGACATTAATTTAATTCAATTTTACTTAATTCCTGCTTTGGCAGGAGTTTGGACTCACCCTAATGGTCTCTTCCAATTTTACGATTTTATAATATTGTATGTGAATTTCTGTTTCATTCTTATCCCAGTGAAAAATCTACAGACTTCTGTTAAAAGTCTTTTCTGCATATCCTTGCAGTGGTGGTGGTGTAAACCACATCTAAATATTTAACCAATTTGTATACTGTACGCTTCTTAAGGCAGGCTATGTTTTTAACTAGCTTTTTCGAGAAAAGGCAAGAAATAGTTGAACTCACTCTTATGTCATTTGGTTTGTCCACCAGGTCATTGTCATGAAGCGCACCCTGGGAGTTGGGTATGCTGCTGTCGACAATCCCATTTTTTATAAACCAAACACTTCGATGTTGCTTGGAGACGCAAAGAAAACCTGCGATGCTTTACAATCCAAAATTCGAGATTCTTTTAGCCACTAGTGCTTCCGGTCATTCTAAGGCATCATCCAGTGATAAGTGTTATTATGTACCTTTTAATTTGATTGTGTTTATTGGAAGACCTTGAAATCAATGGAACGTCTAACAGGCTGGTGCCAATTATTTGTATCCTTTGATAATGGACATAATCTCTTATGTATATACATTGTCAGAAAGATAAATAGGAGAATCTAACTCATATGAGAAATGAGTGGTTTCTGTGTCTTTATATGGGTGAAAATCCATCCATCCATCCATCCATCCATCCATCCATCCATCCATCCAATAATCTACTTGTTTCGCTTAACATTGCTATGACATTTTTAACCTGTACAATAAAAGAGACAAGTGATCATTTCTGGGCCAGATTTAGTCCTCTGGAGAGAACATTCCATCACCAAAGAGAGGGATCTTGTGGAGGAAGTGGTGGCTATGGATCTAGGGTTTGACTTGTCTGCTCTAGGGTGTAATAGTGATAGCTTGTGAAGAATAAGTGGCAGGATGGTCAATCAAAGGACAGCAATGGATGGGCTTGGGGAAGAGAGATTTGGGAAGTGCAAGTTGAAGAAAAGGTCTGAGGAGCTTCAGGGTGTAAGACTGGTAATACTTCTGTTAGAATGACAGGTTAGGAATAGTGTTAAGATGGAGTAAGGCTAGCACTAATGGGATAAAAGCAATTTGTGGTAACGAGTGAACCTGGATCAAAATCATTTTATAAAGTTATTTAATAAAAGTCCCTTTGTTGCTGTTAACCATGCATCTGTGCTGTCCTATAGTAAATTTTCTCCACTTGATAATATCACCTTATAGGTTTAAAGAATTTACAGAGCAGTGGAAAAAGAAGATAATAACAGAAAAGACTCCCATAACAAGCAGATTGTGGGACACAACCTGGTTTGCTGTTTGGCACTATATTTCAGCAGAACACTTGACTTCTGAAGTGAGCAGGGCATGGTATGAATTCAGAGAAACAAGGGCCCCTCATTTCAACCCTGAAATAATCTCCTTTATTGGAATTCAGAGAAATCTGAAAACCAGTGGGTGAATTAAACGTACAAATTTAATGGCATGGATATCCTGGGTTAGACACCAAATCTCTCTTCTGTTCCACTCGTCTTCCTTTCCTTTTCAATTCTTTAAAAAAAAAACTTTCGACATTAGGCAAAGCACAAACCCTTGTCATCCCCTGTGTGACTATTTCTATCTGTACATCCGAATATGTTCTTCTGAATATCAGAACTTGATTGGTGCGTGGGGTTTAAAGCAAAAACCCTAAAATCAATTCAACATTTGTTTACATAAGCGGTTTCTCTGTCTCAACTTCTAAATAATTTGCAAATGTTTCAAGGAAATAAGATCTGGAAGACACCATGAATGTCTTTCAGGGCTAGATTATTGTACCACAAAGCCACGATGCCCTTCTCGTGACAGTAGAAATAATAGAACTATGGCAATAAAAGCATTAAGTTTTTTGGGGTTTATTAAACAGATGACTCCAAAAGGAATTTATCATTTGAATCATTACATATGCAGCTTTCGGCCCATCGTGGTCCCATGGACAACTTTCCTCCAGGCCTTCCTGTCCTCTACCATCCTCTGGGGTGCATGGGGTCACGTTGGGTCGGACACAACTTTGCAACTAACAACAACATATGCAGCTTTATACAACATGTAAGATTTAAGATGCACGATCCATCCTCTAATGTGGTTTATTGTAGCTTTTATCCATGTTCGATTGCAGCTAGGTTTATACCTTATAAGGACTGTATATTTTGCCTTGAACTTCTGAAATTGTTATTTTGCTGCAATCTTAGGAGCAAATGGTATGTTCCTGTGCAAAGAAAGCATAAGCTCCAATCCTTATGCTGGCTTCCATAAATAAAGACGAAATTTAAAAAGGACTGTAATATCTAGAAGTACCAAGCAAGATAACTAATGGTATCTTCTAGACATCACAGATAGACCATCCTTGAGCTTTAATCAAGATTGCCAATTTTTGATGGCAAAGTTTTATTTTTTAATATTAGGCATTATAATAGGTGCCTTAATCTTTTGACATTAGGCATTAGGCAATTGTAATGCGCTCATTAAAAAAAAACTCACAAAAAGTGAGGAAATGTTAATCTTGTCCCTTGTAGGTTGAGAAACACTCTTCCTCCAGAAAGTACCCTATCTCTGGTGTAGAAATGTCAACTTTTTCTGAAGTTTGCTATGCAGCAAAAGTAAGGAAGCACTACAGAAACAAGGCTGGCTGGGGAATTCTGGGAGTTGAATTCCAGACCTATCCCCCCATAGGTCTTAAAGGTGTCAAGGTTGGTCATTCCTGCTTTAGAAGGAAACCTTGGTTCAGACCTATAAGCAATCAGTGGAACATACGTTTTCTAACCTTATTTAAGCAATTTGGCAACTTAATTCAGTCCCAATCATGTTTACTGCTAGAATACAGCTGACATATTAGTCTGTCTTCCCTTTGGGGGTGGAATTGGGAAGTAATTAGTCTAGTAATTTTTAATAGGTAGTAAAGTCACCAAGAGTGATTTCTTTTTCGATAGTCCAAAGAGTAGCCCTGCATAATGAAACTAACAAATGAAGTTTCTGCTATCTTTAAACACAAACTTCAAGCTGGTAATTTTGTTGTTCAATAAATAAGGGGAAAAAAATTCTATTTAGATGCCACAAGTCCAGGTTTGTTTCAGACAATCTTCCCTTAACAGTTTTAAGCTTTGTATGTGTAAGTTTGGATTTAGTTTAAATTTAAAAGACAATAACTATAAGCATTCTATTTGTAAGTCAGTTTCAGTCATTCAAATCTTAATTCGTTTTAAAGGACTGGTTTTAAAGGATAATGGATCCCATTTGCATGAGGAACACTTCACTTTTTTCCTGCAGAATCCTTGGCTTTCCTGATCAGCTTGTACATAAATGAGAAGAAAAAAAGCAAATTGTCGTATTGTCCATCATATTTTTCTTTTAAGACCTCCTTGTGATAGTCTACTAGAAAGTAATAAATTGCTTCAATGGTAGAGAGGTAAGTTTCTGGTTTTCCTTTCTGATGGCGCCAAAAGCAGGTTTTCTTAGATTTCAGCTCAATTTGTAGCAACCCTGCAGTGTGAAGAAAACCAAAGATAACAATGTAGGCATTTAATTACACAAAAGACTGTGAAAAAACTATTTGTAGCAAATTGTTAACAGGTTTCTCCAAAGCATTACAAACAAGGATAAGCCTGATTAAGACATATGTAGGCAGATTTATACGGTAATTTCCATTGTATTTTCAAAGTGCGAAAAAAAGTCATCTTTTTTCTCTAAAACCCTTTCTTTCCTGAAATGCAGTAGTATCTGACTGGAGTACAAAAATGTTATGCAGTGTTGCAGCGCACTAGTTTTGGAAAAGCAAAACTTTTGGAAGAAAAATGAGAGTAGAGAGGAGGTATTTATTCCTGGTAACAGCTCTCCACTATACCTAGAACAATTCCCAAGATTCGTTTCCATTCATAAACATAATACCTTGGAGCCGCTCATCTGTGATTATTTTGTTTGTCTGATTCCATGTACTGTCGATAAATACAATTTTTTTCAGTGCATTTTCGCTCTTGGGCAATTTATCTTCACTCATGAGTCTACTGTGGCTTGGCTCCAATTTTGCACACTTGGGTGCTGGTTCTGCTGATAAGCCCTTGGTATCCGTCTTACATTTTGTTTGCAAAGAGAGAGGAATGTTGCTTATTGAAACTGAATTAGGTCCAGGAAAAATAAGTGCAATCTAAAAATGGGGTGAAAAAAACCTTCGTGAGATCTAGATTAGCCTCAGCCACAAGGCAACTCCTATTTCTCCCAATCAATCTATTTTAAAATTGTGCTTCCACCATTATTTCTGAAAATACAATCTGTGTAACATTTACCAACAACATTGTTTAAACAAATACGAGAAAATGTTAAAACCCTGCGAAACTTTTATTTCATCTAACAGGCTGACATGCTGATCCACCCTCTTAGGAATAGTCCCTGTTGTCATTTTGGCTTTAGGCCATCTGTACAGGTAGTCCTCTCTTACTGACCGCAATAGGAACCAGTAACTCCCATCACTAAGGGGGTCATCAAATGCAACATCCCATGACTGTGACTAGTGACTTCCTGCTGGCTTCCCCATTGACTCTGCTTGTTGGAAGCTGCCTATGAAAGTTGCAAATGGCAATCACACAACCGTGTGACTCTGTGGCTGTTGTAGATGTGTGCTGACCCCCAGGGACAGGGCAAGAACCGCAACTTGCCGCAACTGGCAAGGACCAGTTGTAAATCACATTTTCCAGCAACTTCGTCACTTTGAACAGTTGCTGAACAGGTGCTTGGTAAGCGAGGATTACCTGTACTCTCAGGAAAATTCTTGCAAAAATGCTTGTACTCTTAAAAATAAGCCAAGACGTGGAACTCACTTCTGTGAATACAAATAAGCAATAAGTCCTACTTCATGAATTCCTGGACAAATACATTGATTATTTGCTCTCGTACGTGCAAAACAATGCTAAACACTGCATATTTAATAGTAGCAATAGTGGCAGTGAGAAACAAAAGGCCTTGCTGTAGTGCTACATATAGACAGACTCTTACTTCATGCTGCATTTCTTCATAGTCAGGAATACACGGATATGTATAAATGGTAACATCTTCAGATGCCAGAAGCTTGGCGTGTACAGCTGTACTTTTGCCATCTGTTTCATTGGGATGCTTGATTATATCAATCTTCAAGGGAAGCTTAAACAACGAACCCAGAAAGTGCATCAAAATTCAATTCAGCCCCAAATTCAACCATAAATTCAAACTGTAACTTTGTTGCTTGTATCCTTACAATTTATATTGACTGTTTCCTAATATGATTTGATTGCTTATTTGTACCCTGTGACTATCATTAAGTGTTGTGCCTTGATGAACGTATTTTTTCTTTTATGTACACTGAGAACATATGCACCAAGACAAATTCCTTGTATGTTCAATCACACTTGGCCAATAAAATTCTATTCTATTCTTCTATTCTATTCTAAATAAATACATTTGCTCAACCATGCATTCCACTCTGGATATCAGAGTATAATACATGATTTGCACCAGTTACAATTGCAATTTTCAGCAAAATAATCAATGGAAAAGAACAAAAACACCATGAAATTGAATACTACAATTAAAAAGAAGCTACTATTTGAATAACTCAAATCAAAGGCTGCCTTTGGGACAAGTTTGGGTAGGCATCTTTTCCATGATCATCTACCGTATGGGTGGAGAACTATGGCCTCTTTATGACATGTGGACTTCAACTCCCAGAATTCCTGAGCCAGCATGTTGTAAATGCGTGCTGACCCCAGGGATGCTGCAACAGCCGCAACTTGGTAAACCCTGAAAACCATGGCTGGCTCAGGAATTCTGGGAGTTGAAGTCCACAGGTCATAAAGGGGCCATAGTTCCTCACCCGTTCTACAGAGATGCCAACGTTTGGGTAGAAATCTTGGCTAGGAAAGACATCCAAGTGGCACTGGGCTATTTTGACCTGCTCTATTTTCACTAAAGCAGCTGTATGGTTATGGCACTTATTAGTTTTTGGCACAAAAGACAAGAGTAGGTTAAACTCCACCTTTATCTATTTCATCTATTAGAATAACTTTCTGGGAAATTTGATATAAAATGACCAAAGAACACTGACCTTCCCCCTCTTCAGATCCCCTGTACTAACCTTCACAATAGGAATATCTTCAACGGGAACAGTTTCAACTGGAACATAACATGAATAACAGTAGAACATCCTCGATCCGTGACATCTGGGGCATTTTGATCTTCCTTGTTTTTGGGCTCTCTCAAGAATAGCTTGAGATGTCAGACACAAGTTGTCAAACGGGGTCTCTTGTAACATGGATGCAGTCAGTGTATCTTGATTTCGCAAACACTCGGCATTTCTTTTCATTTCCTGGTTTATCTTGGTCTGCTTTTTTTAATGGGAGATGAATTTAATGATATATTTCAGATGAATGATATCCTTGGAACTGTTAAAGATAAACAATGCAAGAATAGCTTTCAAGTATAATTTTAGATACGTATTCTTAGAGAGAATAGAAATCTTGATGAATCAGACTAGGGAAAACTATTCTCCAGCAGCGCTGAACATAAAGAGTTAGGGCTGAAATTTAAAATGTGTGGGTGGGAGACAGACACAGAGAGATCCTAAACAACAGAGACATGCAGGTAGAAGCTTGATCTTCTGCCAACCTGTCTGGATCTAACCCAAGGACTGCACAATTGATGTTTCTCCACATCTGTTCTAGGTTAAGTGGTATAAGTGGTAAGGTATAAGAATCAATCTAATGTGAAGCTTAATAGCATAAAGTTTTTATGTTTCATATTGCAGTATCTTAGTAATATTATTCATTAATAGAGACTTAACTTGTATGACAAGTGTTTGGGTATTTACTTTACATGTATAATATGTTTTACTATATTAAGAATATATAGAATATAATGGCAGCCATGTTTTTGGCTGCAAACACAGATCACGGGGTAGTAGTTCATTTCGTTGATTTACCTGCCAACCTTTTGCAGTTTATAAAATAACCGTTACTTCTAAAATGATACCTATTAAAGGGATAATAACAAAAATGTATTTGTGGCTTTTGTGTAACAAGCCCCATTTCTGCTTTTGCAGTATCAGCTCTTTCTCCCTGGAATGAGAATATTCTGAGACAGTTTGCCGGAGAAAGCTTGGCAGGTAAGTGAAGAAAGTTGCTTAGGTTTGGGCAAAATTTTCTAACCACATGGATTCCTTAGTCCAAGAGCAGGAAATTAATTAATCTGTTACGCATTCCTGGCCACCTTATATTAAACAACTAGTGGCAGCTTTCCTTATCACCACAGGGAAAAATGCTGCTGACAGAGAAAGGGATAAATTTCATCTATGTTTTCCAGAACCATAAAAATCTAACAAATAAGAATGTCCTGACCACTTTGCTAACTGGAAGTAAGACATGCTTTATACAACTGAATAGTTCAACCCAAGTATCAGTCAATCCTACTTCTAGAGAGAACCAAATTTAAATCTCACTTGACCACTAAACTAAACTGAGCACTCTTTGCCACACAATGCAGTTTCACATTGCTCTTTTAACTATAGTTTGCTTTAAACATAAGTTATTCACTGCCCTAGGCTACCATAAGTGGGCTGCCAAAATCCTGACAACAGGATTTAGCAACAAAGATTTAGTGCTTTGTTAGATAGCGCTAAACTCCAATTGGCTGGGTTCATTAACATCCTTTGCCCCCAAACCATGACTTGCATGCTACCACGGTTGGATTCCCATCAGATATTTTGCTGAGGACAACCAGCGAAGCCAATTATATCCGTCTCAGCGACCTCAAAGAAGATATAAACATTAAGTGAAAAGAGTGCTCTGCTTCTGTTGGAAATAGTTATATATAGAAATAGTTATATATCTATTAAGTTACCGGTATATATATACCGGTAACTTAATAGATTGCGGTAACATCTAGGTCAGTGTTCCTCAGTCCATGTGTGAACTTCAAATCTCAGAATTCCCCAGCTGGCAAGGCTAGACTTCAATTCACAATTCCACTTCCAACATGACGGATGGGGAATTCTGGCAGTTGGGAAACTCTGATAGAGGCAGTCCATTTGATTCAGTGGTTCTATGGCAGTGTTTCTCAACCTTGGAAGCTTGAAGATGGGTGGACTTCAACTCTCAGAATCCCCCAGCCAGCGCTGCTGGCTGGGGCATTCTGGGAGTTGAAGTCCACCCATCTTCAAGCTACTAAGGTTGAGAAACATTGTTCTATGGTAAGGTCATTTTCCACTCCACCAACAAATTTTTAACCCAGGTTGGGTTTAGTCCTCAAAAAAGTCACCAAACCTCTGCAACAAACCAGCACAGCTCTTCTTCTGGACAATCATGCAGGTTAAGTTTAGGAACCACCACTAATTTATCACCTTGCAACTCCCAGCAGCAACTTCTGGAGATCCCCCCCCCCTCCTACAACTGGTTTTTTTTTTTTTTTGCAACTTAGTAAACCATGCACAGGGATCCGGGGCTGGGGGGGGGCGGTGCTGCCCCAGCCTCCCCATCTCTCTCCCCAAACCCAAGCCCACTTCTCGCACCCATCCATATCCATAAGGAAACCCACCGCCATTTTGCAAAGCAATGCCCAGGGACTCCTCTTGGCGTTGGGAGCGGGTGTGTGTGGGGGAGAGAGATCTATTGCAAGCACGCCTCCCACGAGCGGACGCGAAAGCGAACCTCGCGGAAGGATCGCGTGTCTTCTCTCCACCTCCCACCCGCTTCCTCTAGGACAGGCGCGTCGCGCACATTGGCGGAACCTGAGCGCCGGGGGTAACGGGGGAAAGCCGGAAGGATCGAAAGTGCCGGACCGCGGAGGCGGAGACAGGCGGTTGCTAGGGCGCCTTAGCAACGCCAAGAAAAGGTCCGTTGGAAGGGCGGGGCGTTCTGCTGTTGCTGCAGCTGCAGTCTCTGGAAGGATTCGGGCTGGCGAGGGCGAGAAGGCGGTAGCTTTGCTTGGGAATGGGCGAGCGACCTCGCACACTGACTCTTTCCTCCTACAAGCATTCTTTTATCAAGGTCGGAGACTGAATAGAATAGAATAGAATAGAATAGAATAGAATAGAATAGAATAGAATAGAATAGAATAGAATAGAATAGAATAGAATAGAATAGAATAGAATAGAATTCTTTATTGGCCAAGTGTGACTGGACACACAAGGAAATTGTCTTTGGTGCATATGCTCTCAGTATACATAAAGAAAAAATAAAATATATTCATCAAGAATCATAGAGGAGAGGAGGGGAGAAGAGAAGAGAAAAGAGAAGAGAGGAGAAGCGAAGAGAAGAGAAGAGAAGAGAAGAAGAATTCTTTATTGGCCAAGTGTGACTGGACACACAAGGAATTTGTCTTTGGTGCATATGCTCTCAGTGTACATAAAAGACAAGATACGTTCGTCAAGAATCATAGAGGAGAGAAGAGAAGAGAAGAGAAGAGGAATTTTTTATTGGCCAAGTGACTGGAAACACAAGGAATTTGTCTTTGGTGCATATGCTCTCAGTGTACATAAAAGAAAAGATATATTCGTCAAGAATCATAGAATAGAGGAGAAGAGAAGAGGAGAGGATTATTGGCCAAGTGTGATTGGACACATAAGGAATTTGTCTTTGGTGCATATGCTCTCAGTGTACATAAAAACACAAGATACGTTCATCAAGAATCATCAGAATAGAATAGAATAGAATAGAATAGAATAGAATAGAATAGAATACTTTGTTGGCCAAGTGTGATTGGACACACAAGGAATTTGTCTTTGGTGCATATGCTGTCAGTGTACATAAGGAGAATAAAATACATTCATCAAGAATAAAAAGATACAACACTTAGTGATAGTCCTAAGGTACAAATAAGCAATGGAATCATACTAGGAAATGATATCAATATAAATTGTAAGGCTGCAAGCAACAAAGTTACAGTCATACAGTCATAAGTGGAAGGAGTTGGGTGATGGGAACGATGAGAAGATTAATAGTAATAGTAATGCAGACTTAGTAATTAGTTTGACAGTGTTGAGGGAATTATTTGTTTAGCAGAGTGATGGCATTTGAGAAAAAACTGTCCTTGTGTCGTTTTGAGGGTAGGAGTTGAAACAGTTTATGTCCAGGATGCGAGGGGTCTGTAGATATTTTCACAGCCCTCTTTTTGACTCATGCAGTATACAAGTCCTCAATGGAAGGCAGGTTGATAGCCATTGTTTTTTCTGCAGTTCTAATTCTCCTCTGAAGTCTGTGTCTGTCTTGTTGGGTTGCAGAACCAAACCAGACAGTTATGGAGGTGCAGATGACAGACTCAGTAGTTCCTCTGTAGAGCTGTATCAGCAGCTCCTTGGGCAGTTTGAGCTTTCTGAGGTCGGAGGCTTAAATCCGAGGCTGCCCTTCCCCTCCGCAGGGAGGGAGGGAGGACGGGCAACACTTGTTTGGGGCTCTCGAAAGAGGCTGGAAGGACATTTGCAGCCAAGACTTGCAATGTTCAGTTCCTGGGTTACAAAGCTTGTGACATAATTAGGGTTTTTTTTGGGGGGGGGGGTTGTTTCCTTCTACACCATACATGGTGAAAGGTTTCCTGCCTAAGCAGGGTGTTGGACTAGATGACCTCTAAGGTCCCTTCCAACTCTGTTACTGTTTTTAAAAAAGCCATGTTTGCATTGCACTCAAGACACATACTAACCAAGTTTAGTTTGTGGTACAGGTACAGCCCCTAGATTTTTATCTGAATTAATGAAGCATGTTGTGTGTGAACACAAGTCATATTGAGAACAAGCTATCTCACCATTTGCTATGGGATGTTTATTGCTCTGCCAGACTGATACATGAAGAAAAAACAAAAATCCGATTAGAAACAAGTTGTTTGTTGATATGAGGAATCAAAGCGTTACAAAATGGTTCAATGTAAGTAAAATAATAGCATATCCCTCAAATGAATTCAACCAGCTGGTTGACTCTATTGAATCAGAGTGCTCAATTAGGATAATGGTGGTGGTGAAAGGTCTTATGGATCAATTCAAAATGAGAATGAGAAGTTTTTAAAATAACATTGCTGACTTCCCCCCCACCCACCCCCCGTTTCAGAAATAACAAAGAAATGTCCCGTGTTCACATATTTATTTTAGCCATGGTATGCTCAGTATGTCTGGGCAAAATGTCATTATGTACTTATGCTATGCCAAGTGTTATGCTCAGTTATACTTCAGTCTTTGATGGCAATACATGAACATAACCACATCAAAATTCATCAAAGTGGCAAAGGCAATGTTTTGATGTTTAGTCTTCATTTCTGAAATTGCTGGCAACGTATAATATTTCAATAAAAATAAGTAGATTTTCCCCAAACAAGTCAGAAGAAAACCTTGCAGTGTTCTGTCAACATTTTGGATGATTGTGTACCCAGGATTTGAGATACAAGAGCTTGGTTTACATATAATACTAAGCCAGAATTCTTTAAACCAAAATGGCCTAGTACAGTGTTGGCGAACCTTTTCGGTGCCAAGTGCCAAAATGGGAGTGCGTGTGCGTGTGCGGGGGGGTGGGGTGCTGGAAACGGGAAGAGCCGTTTCCCAGTGCTCATGCGCGTGCCAGGAAGCTGAGCTTCCAGTATGCTCTTGTGTGCCAATCACCTGGTCTTCGGTTTCTGGCGCACATACGCACATGAAGACCAGCTGGCCAGCGCGTATGCGTGTGCCAGAAACTGGAAGCTCAGCTTCCTGGTGCGAATGGCGACAGCTGGCGTACCTGGAAAGATGGCACTGTGTGCCACTTCCGGCACGCATGCCATAGGTTCGCTATCATGGGCCTAGTAGTTCATATGTATGTAAGGTTTACAAGAAACAGTAAGATAGCTGACTATTTCATATGAATCTGATCAGAATAGTCCACATATTTTAAATTTTATTTCTTTGATTATAATATTTCTTCAGAGTATTAGATTAGCAAAACCCAATTTGCAGGTTTACTAGTACTGAAAGGAGTAAGTATGCTATAGTATAACCAGGTCTGCTTTATTTTATAAGACGTGTATCTTTATGTGTTTATAGGAAACTGTAGAACTTCCTGGTACATTTGATGAATTTTTGGCCTTTTTCAATTTGGTATGTATGTTTATGAAATAATTTTAATAGTACTTTGAGTGCATGGGAAATGGTATGAAAATTTCATTAAAAGTAGTAACAATAAACATCAGGGATGGTTATTGTGTAGTTCGAAACATTTGGAGAGCTTTAGATTCCCCCTGTTATAGATTAACCATCAGAGCTCAGCAAAGAAAGAATAGAAGCAGGTATGATGGTTAATGCTGGACAGCTTATCATGGAACTTCTGAAAGGTAATTAGGAAATGCTGTGTGAAAGAAAAAATAGGGCCCCCACCCTTTTGGAGCTTTTGGAGACTGCAAATTCAGCCTCCCACACAGTCTCTCAAACAGCCTCCAAAAGGTCCGTTTGAGAGGCTCCCTTTGCAAAGAGAAGCTCCTTTGCAAACGGAGCCTTTGGAGTTTTTGGAGGCTGCAAACGCAGCTTCTCAAACGGAGAGCCCCTCAAGCAGATTTTTTTTTCTTATTTTCCTCCCCCGAAAATAAGGTGCGTCTTATACTCCGGAGCATCTTATACTCTGAAAAATACGGTATAATGTGAATTATAGATTCAATACATCTCTTTATTTTTGCTATCAGCAATGGGGAAACATAGCTTGGAAAAAATTTCCAGTGTTAGGTGTTATACAGATAGTCCTTGACTTAACAACCACAGCTGAGCCCAACATTTCTGTTGCTGAGCAAGACATTTGCTAAGTGAGTTTTGCCCCATGTTATGAACTTTCTTGCCACAGTTGTTAAGTGAATTACTGCAGTGGTTAAGTTAGCAACACGGTTGTTAAGCAAATCTGGCTTCTCCACTGACTTTGACTGTCGCAAGTTTGCAAAAAGTGATCACATGACCCCCGGGACACTGCAACTGTCATGAGTCAGTTGCAAATGGCTGAATTTGGATCACATGACCATGGGGATACTTCAGCGGTCCTAAGTATGGAAACCAGCCATTGGTCCTTTTTTTTCAGCGCCGTTGTAACTTTAGAAGACACTTAAATGAAGGGTTATAAGTCAAGGACTGCCTGTACTTCACGACTCCATGTATAAAACAGACACTTACCCTGTTTTCCCCAAAATAAGACATCCCCTGATAATAAGTCCAATTGGGCTTTTGAGCGCATGGCAATAAGGCCAAGCACTTATTTCAGGGTTCAAAAAAATATAAGACAGGGTCTTATTTTCGGGGAAACACGGTAACATTATTTCTGCTTAACATTTATTTTATAATTGCTGTTCTTTGCAGGATGATTGGCCAAGAGTCCCATACTTGCCAGATGAGAATCCTTATCCCTTGGTTTCCCGGATAAAAAATGACTACTCTGTGGATACTGTTGCCCGGTATCTTTATGATAATGCTCCGATGCCCTATGAAATTATTTCCAGGTTGGAAAAAAGAATAGATGAGTGCAAACTACAAGTCCAGGAGCATGCTAAACATATATTTACACTGGAATCAGAAAAATCAGAAATAGATGAGGAGCCAGGACAAGGTAATTCTGTCTCTTAGCCAATAAGTCCATTGGGGGGGGGGGGGCAGAGGGGAATCAGTATCAGTTAATTTTAGAACTTGGAATAACAGAGCTGGGAGGGACCTTGGAGATCATCTGGTCCAACCCAGTGGTGAAATCCTACTGGTTTGCACCGGTTCAGGCAAACCGGTAGCGATAAAATCTGTCGGTAGTAAAAAAAAGCTACTGGTTCATCCAAAGCGGTATTTCCGATGATCAGCTGTGCCGCGTGATTTAGATTCGCTAGAAAGCAAGAAATCCTGCGCAGCACAGCTGTTCCCCCCCCTCGCTGTTCTACTTACCTTCAAACGGCTCCTTTTTCTGCACAAAGTGCACATTTGGTGTGGACTGCACATATGCGTGCACAGTGTGCATCTAGTGTGCAGTGTGCATGCACACACAGCGTGCATCTGGCGTGCACTGCGCATGAGCGCGCACAGAGTCCCAAAGATGCTTTTTCAAAAGGTAACTGGACTTTAAGGCATTTTGCTTCTTATCCAAGAAGCTTCTTCAGTTCTGACTGAATGATGGAGAATGGAAGGATTTATATTCTTTGCAGTCATCTGGGCATTAGCATTCTTTCTGAGAATCATTGAAGCCAGTTGGAGGTTTATCTGTGCCCTCAGGATCACCTGAATAGTGCAAATGAGTGCGGAACCTTCTAGAACTGCTTAAGCCTCTTGGATGAGAAGCAAAACGTCTTCAAGGAAAAACAAAGTCCAGTGGCCTTTTGAAAAAGCACCTTTGAGGCAACCATGACCTGGATGACTGAGAACGTCCATAAATATCATTTAATAACGTCTAAAAGGCAATGTCAAAACAGTTCTATATCTAATAATGCCTTCTCAGAATTTGATCATCACACTTGATTATACCAGCTAACATATCTCTCTATTTCTTTCGTACAAGTCCCTAGGCTATCATATTGCTCTTATTTAGAATAGAATAGAATAGAATAGAATAGAATAGAATAGAATAGAATAGAATAGAATAGAATTCTTTATTGGTCAAGTGTGATTGGACACACAAGGAATTTGTCTTAGGTTTATATGCTCTCAGTGTACATAAGAAGAATAAAATACATTCAAAGGTAGAAGTTGAAACAATTTATGTCCAGGATGTGAGGGATCTGTAGATATTTTCATAGCCCTCTTTTTGACTCGTACAGTATACAGCTTCTCAGTGGAAGGCAAGCTGGTAGTAATTGTTTTTTCTGCGCTTCTAATTATCCGTTGAAGTCTGTGTTTGTCTTGTTGGGTTGCAGAGCCAAACCAGACAGTTATGGAGGTGCAGATGACAGATGCAATAATTCCTCTGTAGAACTGAATCAGCAGCTCTTTGGGCAGTTTGAGCTTTCTGAGCTGGCGCAGAAATAACTTTCTTTGTTGAGCTTTTTTGATGATGTTTTTGATGTTAGGTATTTTAAGTCTTGAGATATGATAGAACCTAGAAACTTGAAGGACTCTACTGTTGATACTTAAATATTAAATTAAATTATACATATTAAATACATATTAAATATGTGTTTAATATGTAAATACATATTTAACTTATGATTACTGGAATATTTGTATTTATCTTAGGATCCATTCTGGCAAAGAATGATATGTTATCTTGCTATGCTGATGTGATTAGATTTTCTTTTTAAACACAGCAGTGTAAATTTTTCTGGGATACATTTAGACATTTCCAAATCAGCGACCCTGCATTCACTTAACTGCCCTGGCTACCATGCCAAGGATTCAAGCAAAGTCTCCACCATGTCCTGTTTGTAGGCCAGCAGATACTTGGCACTTGCCTAGAAAGAAAGCAGATGTGTCCTATTTGGTAGAGTTGATGGTGATCAGAAAATTAGGCTCAAAAATTGTGGTCTGGCTCATAGCAGCAACAGCAGGGAAACTTTTCCCTTCAGTGGCCAAAGTGGATTTAAAACACAGTCTTTTGTAGGAATATTCTTTAAGGAGATGTTCTACTGAACATTATAGTTGCTCTTGCTTTCCACAGAAGTCATTTTTGTACATACTTGGACTGAAGTCACTTGGACTGATGCCTTCCTAATTCCTGGTTGTATATATGTGTCTCTGTATATATGTGCGTTTATACATGTATATCAGGGGTGAAATCCAGCAGGTTCTGACAGGTTCTGGAGAGCCGATAGCGGAAATTTGGAGCAGTTCGGAGAACTGGTAGCGGAAATTTTGAGTAGTTCGGAGAACTGGCAAATACCACCTCTGGCTGGCCCCAGAGTGGGGTGGGAATGGATATTTTGCAGTATCCTTCTGCCACGCCCACCAAGCCACACCCACCAAGCCACACCACGCTCACCAAGCCTCCCCACAGAACCGGTAGTAAAAAAATTTGGATTTCACCACTGATGTATATGTGTGTGCACTGTGCATGTCTGTGTATATATCAAGCACAAGCATATTTTCAGTGGCCTAGAGCTTAAGTGCTGTTGGACTCAGTGAAACTTAATTTTTGATTAATGAATAGAACAGCATGATTAATATTTGGATCTGAGGCTTTGGGCAATTGCTTATATTCAGGTGTTAACTTTAGGAATCATAACAAAGCTCATCTGTCTTCTCACATTGTCCAATCACTTCAATTATTTTAAGATGTCTTAATTGCGCCCGCTTGAAAATATAGGTAAATGTTTTCCCACAAAATGGGAACTGTATTTTACAGTATATCTGGGAAGATGTTTTAAATTCTTAGTTTCTTTTCTTCTGGTTTTCAAGTGGATGTAACATCATCTCCTGAATCCCAGGATGCTTCAAAGAAGAAAATAAAAATGGAAGTGAAGGTAACTCATGCATTGGATATCCCTTCTCCCCTCCCTTAAGAGATAGATTGCTACACTGAGAGAGCTGGAGTCTGCTAAGACGTTTGCTTGCATTGTGCTTAAGGTAAAAATAATTGAACAGCAGAATAACAGAGTTGACCTTGGAGGTCTTCTAGTTGAACCCCCTGTTCAAGCAGGAAACCCTTTACCATTTCAAACAAATGGTTGTCCCATCTCTTCTTAAAAACTTCCAGTGTTGGAGCATCCACAACTTCTGGAGGGATGTAGTTCCACTAAAGTGTTTTATGTATGAAAACAATTCCCTTGTTTTTTTCCCCCACCTTAAGTGAGGTGACTTCCAACAGTCTGCTTGTCCTGGTTTATTCATTCAGTATTTTGGACGCAGTGGCTCAGTGGCTAAGACGCTGAGCTTGTCGATCGAAAGGTCGGCAGCTCAGCGGTTCGAATCCCTAGTGCCGTGTAACGGAGTGAGCTCCCGTTACTTGTCCCAGCTTCTGCCAACCTAGCAGTTTTAAAGCACGTAAAAAATGCAAGTAGAAAAATAGGGATCACCTTTGGTGGGAAGGTAACAGAGTTCCATGCGCCTTTGGCGTTGAGTCCTGCTGGCCACATGACCACGGAGATGGCTTCTTCGGACAGCGCTGGCTCTTCGGGTTTGAAATGGAAATGAGCGCCGCCCCCTAGAGTCAGGAATGACTAGCACATATGTGCGAGAGGAACCTTTACCTTTAGCTTATTTTGGATTAAACTAATGCATAAATGGGATGTTTGAGCTTCTTGTAAGTAAATCTTTTATTTAAATGCCAGGCCAATAAAATTAATATGCATAGTTAATACTTGAATTCTGCTCTATTAAACAATTTGTCAGAATAGTTATATGCAGTACACTTTCTCTTAAGCTCTCATAGCAGAATGATATTAATGTTGCACTGTGCCATGTCTCAGTGTATGGGATTTTGCATGACGTCTACCCTCCCCCTTGGAAATTTCTCTATTTCTATATCTGGACTACACTTACTCTAGTTCCATATCTTTACGATGTATTTCTTTCCAATGTATTTCAGTTTCCTACTGAAGCTGCAAAAGACTCAAGTAGCAAAGACTTGGAGGTAAATTTAGAATAGAATAGAATAACAGAGTTGGAAGGGACCTTGGAGGTCTTCTAGTCCAACCCCCTGCTTAGGCAGGAAACTTTCACCACATATGGTGTAGAAGTCAGTGATGAAATGGATCAATTCCAAACCACTGGGAAGAGAGCTCTAAAAATTAATTTATACAAAGTATTTATCATCTGAACCTGAAAATGTAATTAAGCAATAAGGCTACCATTCTGGAGGAAGATATAGATTACAGCTTTGGTTTTTTCCAAGCAATTATTTTACAACATGGAAAAACTATTCTGTTCAAGCATCTTTTATCCCTTGTTGGAACAAAACTAAATCCATATTATGGTTTAAATAAGCTATGCAAACTCAGTCATTCCATGAAGTATGTTTAACAATTTTTTAAAAATCTGTTTTGATCTGATGAAGTTATAGTTTTTGTTGGATTGGAATTCTGAACATGTAGAGTCATGTTGCTATTCCTTCCACCCAAAATATGCCCCTAATCCAATAGCGTCTGAATGGTCAGTAGAAATAGGACTTTCAAAACAAAGCACTTAATCATATGTGCTGCTCTGGATTAGGAATCCACATAATTAGATTTTTTTTTTTTTAGAAAAAAGAAAAATGTCTGGTGAGAGGATGCATTTCAAACATTGCCGCTTGGTGAGGTATGATGACTGGCTCTTTTTCTTTTTTAGAATTTCAGCTTTTCTGGATTCAATTTGTGGAAACTTACAAAACTTCCAAACAATCTAGAACCTGCACATCTCTGGGATTCGGTTCTAAAACTCCAAATTTTCAAGGTATCAATTTTTAATTTAACTTAAATTGCAGCACCAAATGGAACACATGTTTGTGAAACAGGAGGCATCTGTGAGCAAGTGAGACTTTGGGACAAATTTGGGATAAATATTTTCCTGCTCTTGTAATTGCCAGAATGTGACACTACAGAAAAGGACAGGACATTATATTAGGATTTTTTTTTTTAAAAAAAGGAAAAAATTGAAGATGGCAGACAGCTTCTATATTTTTGCCAGGAAAATTACATTTTGTTAAGTCACTGAAAATCAAGCATGATTTAAAGGAGGGTTTTGGGTTTTTTTTTACTTTTAATGTGGATTTGTGAGTTATCACTTCATGAAAACAAAATTAAGTGGGCAGAATCTGATTTTAAATTTTCCTTCAAAAAGTGGAATAAATCTAGATTTTGGGGGGGGGGGGGGCAATCCAGGATTAATTCCTTTTTTTTTTCCCTCCCCTTGACAAGTTCAGCCTTTTTTTTTTTAGGTCAGAAAATTTGCAGGAAAACAATTGGCAAAAAACATTACAGTTTGTCAGAGTGCTCCAAATTTGGAACCGTCTGACAAGGCTATAGGAGTGCTCTGTTGATTCGTTGACAACAGTAGTCATATTGGTTAGCCACGTGTCATGAATCGCATACAAGAAAACTGCAGATTTCTAAACGATAATTCCCCCCAAAGCTGGACTTTTACATAGAGTTTATTTGTTTTGTGTGTAGAACTGGCCAGAAAAGAAAGTATCTTGCATATTTTGCAAATCAACTAAAAAATAAATGTAGAACTAAAGGCAGCTGGAAGAAATACCGAATAAACTGGCACACTGGCATCACTAGCAGATTTACAAGTACTTAAGAATTTTTTGTGAGTCCTTAGACTGTAGTTCAGGAATGTCTGTAAAAATTCCTCCCCTGAGTAGATATTTATCTGTATTACCAAGCTTCTTGAGATAGACTTCTCAAACACAAAGTGGACATACATGAAGATACTTGACTTCTTAATTATTCTGAAATGTTCCAGCAATCACAGTGCAGTTGAATCTCCTGACAGGGTTGTACTGTTAATCCTTGATTTACGACAACAATTGAGTCCAAAATTTCTGTTGCTAAGCAAGACAGTTATTAAGTGAGCTTTGTCCCATTTTACGACCCTTTTTGCCATAGCTGTTAAGTGAACCTCTGCAGTTGGTAACTTAGTAACACTATTGTTAAGTGAAGCTGACTTCCCCATTGCCTTGGCTGGTCAGAATGTTAACAAAAGTTGATCACTTTTGGGACAGTTGATCACACCTGGGACACTTGCAACCATCGTAAATGAATTAGTCGCCAAGTGTCTGAATTTTGATCACATGACCATGGGGATGCTACAGGGGTTGAGTGAAAAACGGTCAGAAGTCACTTTTCCCCGGTTCCCTTGTAATCTCGAACAGTCACTAAACAAATGGTTGTAAGTCAAGGACTACCTGTACAGCACTGCTTCCTGCCCATCGTCCGAGCCTTTCCCAGACTCCAGGACTGGCCCATGTTCCTCCCAAGCCTCCTCACTGTCCGACTGTCCTGCCAGCTCCGCAGGCTGCTGGCGGACCACAACACAAGATCTCTTCCTGGGTTGATCACCTCTGCGACAACATGGCATGAATAAAGAGCTGATCCAGATCCACTGTTGATCTGCCGCGCTACAGCAAAATAGGTGTTCCAGTTTCCTGCAGCAGTTTCTGTTTTGAGATAATTATTGTCCATTGGAATAAATTCCTAATCTTTTTTTTTTTTTATAGCATTTGTATTTTCCATTTTCATAACGTTTTGGATGGAACCACCAAGATAGAATACTCGGTTAATAAAATGTCTGCAGCCAGTGCAATAAATCAGTGGTTCTATTTATAGTATACAGAACAAATTAATGAAGTAAAAAGAAACTTGAAATAATACTTGTCAGTTTAATTCTAAATACGTTCACTGTTAAGTAATAGCTTTGAACCATTTTGGACACATAACCAGTGGGACAAATGGACTCCCTTGAAGATGAATGTGTTTGGGCCTGCATAAAAATGTCGACTTCATTTTCCTGTGTCTTTTTTTTTCTTTTCTTTTTTGGATAGGGTGTGAATACTCAGGTTTTGAAGCAGCTGTTTATTTCTGATGCATCTCTTGCGATTTTGCAGGATTCTTTCTGGTGGTGGTTTCTTCATAAGTTCCAGGTACACAACTGAAGGCCTTATCGTGTTTGATCTTATGAAAAAAAAAAACGGTAATTGACATTACAGTATAGTAGTGGCCAAAATTGTGGAAACCTTTTGGGAAAAGTGTATTTTCTAAAACTAGCTAATAACACCACTTTTTTTTTGGAGTAGTACCATAATATTATATATCAATGGAAAGATAATTTAACCAAGAATGTAATGCAGTAACTTTTATGAAGGATTTGCTACTAAAATAGCAGTTACAGTATAAAGAAGAAAAGTGAAACACGTAGAAAAAAACGAGATATACAAAAATGATCACCATAGAAAAAACGAGATATACAAAAATGATCACCATGTCAGTTAATCCTTAGTTCGGTAACCTTTAGCATGAATTACAGCCTTACAACGTCTTCCCATGGAGTGAATCAAGTCTTTTAGTTCTGCAGCTGTTATCATGTGAAACCAAGATGGAATGATGGCTTCTATGAACTGGGTTCTATGGCTGGGTTGTTTCTGACTAACAAGTTTCTTTAGTTGGCTCCATAGATTTTCAGTTGGGTGAAGGTCTGGGCTATTCCAAGGCCATTCCAGCAGCGGAATAGGATTATCTCGAAACTCCCCCCCCCCAAAAAAAGTGATGTTATTAGCTATCAAACCTCAAAAATACACTTTCCCCAGAAGGTTTCCACAATTTTGGCCACTACTGTATAAAATGTCTTGTGCAGCAAGGAATGATGGGTTCTTTAGCACTAAATGAAACAGCTGGATTCAATGTAGTTTTCTTCCACTCAGAGGTCTGAGGTTTTCAGAGATGATATATTTGAAATTCTTTTTTTTTTTTTACAAAGTTTTTATATAAAGTTTTGGCCAAGTTAGAACCCAGTCTTGATGTTCCCTTCTTTTTTGTGCTCACAGCTATTTCTATATTTAAATGCAGCACAGGTATGACATTGGAATGCTTATGAAGTTATGTCAGTCATGCAAATGTGCTTTCAAGCAAATCCAAGGATGCTGGATCTGTGAAAGAGAGCAATCCTGCTCATACAGTGCATTAAACTAGATAAAGCCGGGTTTGTTTATTTATTATTTTGACCTTCTAAGCCAATTCAGTCCCCCAAAAGTAGTCGGGTTAATTGCATTATTACTTTTACAAAAGTGCTAAAGAAAGTTTATTGCAGTCTTGCTTACGGCATTTGTATATTACTTTGATCAACTGCTAATGACCTACCTGGATAGGTCTAGTTTTGGCAGTGTGGTAAAAATTGCTGCATTTCTAAACTCTATCATTAATAGAGACTACCGACAGCAACTCTGTACAAATGTTTTTAACTGTAGACTAGACTTTGCTTAACATTTTCTCCTGATTATTTCAAGCCTGATCAAGATGAACAAGACCACTTTTTTGACAGAATATCCGATAGCTACGTGATGCTTCTCTGGAGCATCCCCAGTTTCATTAAAGATGCTTTTCTTCAGGTAATGACGTTGTTTGCAATTCTGAATTTTACTCCTTCCAATTTTGATTTGTCCTGTTCAGAGAAGAGCAAAAGGCGTGTCATCTTTCTGTCTCATTATCTCTTAATTTAATCCGTTTCTGTTGATGAACATACCAGAATCCTTCAGCCTTTCATTCTGTGACATGCCTTCTGGCTCTATTATTGCCTCTGAAGTTTTTTGTTTTTTGTTTAAATTGTTTGTGGTAATCTTAACTACTTAGCATACAACTCTAGCAAAGCTTGATAAGGATATTTGTGAATCTAGCTAACGCCTTCCTGAATAACACAGAGCGGGAAAAGAGGTTATAATTTATTTAGATATTTGCTGGTTGTTCCATAATCAGAATTCCTTGGGCAATGAGCACTCACTGTAAAAACTGCAACCTCTTGATAAGAAAAGGTGGTGGCCTCATGTCACATCCTTCACTTCATCCTGTAAGCAACTTGGTACCTTCTAGATATATTATAAGACCTGACGGGTTTGACATGCTTCAGGTCCCATCACTATCATAGCACTGATAAAGTTGCCTTCTGTAGGCAAAGGACAGGCAGAGCTTGGGGGCAGAGTCAATAGAGGAATCAGCCTGGAATCATTGCGTTCCCACAAACGGTCTAAGTCCAACCCCTCTTGAATTCCGTTAAATCTTCTCTAGCACCAATTTAGTGCTGGCTATTAGTTGACTAGATTCTTGTATATAGGCATGAGCAATAGGTAAAGGTAAAGGTTTCCCTGTACATGCGTGCTAGTCATTTCTGGCTCTAGGGGGTGGTGCTCATCTCCATTTCTAAGCCGAAAAGCCAGCGCTGTCCGAAGACGTCTCCGTGGTCATGTGGCCGGCATGACTAAACGCTGATGGCGAATGGAGCGCTGTTACCTTCCCACCAAAGTGGTCCCTGTTTTTCTACTTATATTTTTTATGTGCTTTCAAACTGCTAGGTTGGCAGAAGCTGGGACAAGTAATGGGGGCTCAATCCGTCATGCGGCGCTAGGGATTTGAACTGTTGAACTGCCAAGCCAGTGCATCCCTTGTGTCATGAGCAATTTAACGGGTGGTCCTTATTCTGGACCCCTTATGTCTTTTTTGTGACTGCCCTTTTTTAAAACCGCTGGCTTTTAGGAAGACTCTTCCCACAAGCTCTGGCCCCACTAATTTCCATGCAGGTGTTAACTGGTATTTTTGATACTGTTTTCCTCCCTAGAATGGTTGTGTTTTTTAATTGTTAATTGTTTTTTAGTCCTGTGTAAGCTACCCAGAGTCCCAAGGAATGGGGCAGACATAGAAATTGATTAAGTAAAATAAATATAGTCTCCCAGCTAGGATGTTGCAGCCTCAACTGATCTGAAAAGCAGCAATTGGAGAAGGTGATTCTAATATACCTTTGGTCTCAGGTTAAGCTGCCTACTCTGTGTTCAGCACCTCTTCTAAGATAACTAGGGCTTTTTGTCATAATGTACCAAAACGTACCAAAAAATGAGTGCGATCAAATTAATTTTAAGAAATTTTAAAAATGGATGAAGATTTCTCCTTACTGATTTGCCCATAAGTTCATTTGCTTTGCAGTAAGCTAAACTGCCACTCAAACCTGTGATGTTCTTGGACAAACCTTGTATTTTTGTCACAGCTAATGATTCAGCAATATTTGAATCCCTGTTTATTTCTCTCTCTATATAAGCATCACCCAATTTTTACAATGAACTTAATTTGCAACTTGGCAGATGTATCCTGACTGCTTATCCCAAGCCATTTACATTACTTTCTGTGAAGCTTTCCCTGAGGCTTACCATCGTTTCAATGATCAGTTTAAAGACGAATTGATGGATCTAATTTTCCTGTGGATCAGAGGTACTAGAGTGTTGACTATTTTTCCTCGCGGTTGTTGGCAGGAGCGTATCTTCGTAGTTGTTTTACATAATTGCGTCTACTCAATTATTTTCTTCCTTTATGAGTTCTTCAAAAGTATCGCTCAGTTAGAAATGAGGGTTAAGCCACTGAGAACAACTCATTTCAGGAACCCAAATTAGAGTATCCCAAACAGATGGTTGTCCAGCCTTTATTTGAACACATTCCAGTAAGGTGAGCCTATCATTTCTTCTCAATAATTAGTTCCATTGTTAAACTGTTTTTACTCATAAGAGTTTTTTTTTATAACATTCATACTGTATAATAGTACGGTATGCTGGTCTAACAGCTGTGGACAGGAAGGCACTACAGAGAGTGATCAATTCGGCACAAAAAACCACTGGTTGCCCTTTAACACCACTGGATGACATCGTCAGGTCTCGCTGCTTTAGCAGAGTAAGGAAGATACTTAGGGATGATTCACACCCTGATCAGTGTCTCTTCACACTTCTACCATCGGGCAGAAGACATCGAAGTATAGCCAGCTGGACAAACAGGTTTAAACACGGCTTCTACCCTTGGGCTGTCAGACACCTAAAGACAATCACTCCACGCACATACGGAAACGTATGACTAGTCTTTTTTCCCCAATTACTTGTATAAGGATTATTCTCTCTACTATTCATGTTGTCTTGTATTTTCTGTTACGGATTGCACCAGAGAGGCTAAACCAATTTTGTTATATATATGATGTACAATGACAATAAAGGCTATGGTACTTTATAATCTTCCTCTTAAATCCGTCATTCTGTGTCCCACACCCTGGAACAAGCCACAGATGTCTTGATTTTTCTTCCATGACATATCGAGAGATTGGAGTTCACGTCCTCCCTTGGCCTTGAAAGCCAACTGTATGACTTTCGCAGACCAGTCCACCTCACAGGGTTGTTGCAGGGAAAATAGAAAGCAGGATCATTAGGTGTACACCAACTTGCTTTGTACAAAATAAAGCTGGAATAAAAATCTAATAATAAAATTTTAAGATCCCAACACAAAATCATAGAATTGTAGGAATGAAATGGATCAACTAGTCCAGATATTCCCCAAAGTGGTCAGTATTAACCTGCAAAGATAGTCCATTATTGTTGTTACAGTATTATCATTATTCATATTATAGTACCGCTATTCAAAGTAACATTAATTAAAGTAGCATGGTATTTATTAAATTGTTTGTGGATCATTGAACAATCTGCAACTTCATATAGGGGCCAATGATCTGAAGACTTGGGGGGGGCCCTGAATTAGTTCAAAAACATTTGGTTGGTTAGTATTATTCAGTTCATTGGTTGTCCCTCTTACAGGTTTTAAACCACAGAAATTTGCTTGGAAAAATTGGAAGTGTCTGTCCATGGAAAAGCCTATAAAATCCATTGTAGAGAAAGACTCCTTTTCTCCGATATCATCGCATATGAAACTACAGCCTAGAAGCAGGACAACATCCAGGTCATGGTCATGGTCAAGATCCAGTTCAAGGTCAAGGTCAAGGTCAAGATCAAAAACAAAAATCTGTAAGTACCAAGAAAAGGGATTATCCAATGGTTATTTGAGAGTTTTGTGGAGTTGATTTATTTCGCATATGATGAAGTTACATTCGCCAGGAAACTACAGTGCTATTATAAAGTAGTTGTTTGTCTGCCTGTTGGTGTGTTCTCAGTATCTATTTATCTACCTGCATTTTGCATGCTTTCAAGCTGCTCATTTGGCAGGAGCTGAGGCGAGTGATGGGAACTCACCCTGTCCCACGGTGCTAGGGTTCAAACTGCTGGAGTACAGACCTTCTCCAGCATCCTTAAGCCGTTGAGCCACCGGACCTCTCCTCTATGTGGAGTGATGTATGCTAAAATCTGTAGCTTTTTTAGAATACTATTTTCAGTTCTACAACTGTAGTCTTATACAGCAATATCCAACAATAGGGAGATTTATGCAACTCTAGACTGCTGTTTTGTTTCGAATGTGGGAATGTCTTGAAGATTTGTGGGGTATTCCTGAAGGAATCTCTAGATATGAAGCTCATTACTGATTATTATCCTTGATGCACAGATCAGTAATGTATGTGATATATATGTAGTTACTGCAGTACCTCCAACTATCAGTAGAGCAGAGGTGGTATTCAGCCGGTTCAGACTGGTTCACACGAACCGGTAGCAGAAATTGCGGGGGGGGTGCCCCCCCGCCCCGGCTCTATGCCATACTATTTAGGCATGTTTTTGAGGCCAGGCGCATACACGGAAGGCAGGCGTGCGCACGAAGCAAGTGTGCTTCAATGCAGTGAACTGGTAGTAACATAATGTGAAACCCACCACTGCAGTAGAGGACATAAACAGGAGGCTGCTTTTGCAGTCAGGGTGGAGATATATACCCTGTTTCCCCCAAAATAAGACACCCCTGATAATAAGCCCAATCGGGCTTTTGAGCGCATGGCAATAAGGCCAAGCACTTATTTCAGGGTTCAAAAAAATATAAGACAGGGTCTTATTTTCGGGGAAACACAGTAATAACATGGGGAAGAATACTGGATTACAAATTCCTTGTGTGTCCAATCACACTTGGCCAATAAAGAATTCTATTCTATTCTATTCTATTAGATAGGCCAGCAAATGTGTTACCTTTGGGACTCTTTTCATTTGCTCTCAATGAAAATTGGTCCATATCCATTGGCTTATTAATCCTCTTGGAGAAAAAAAAATACCCAGTGGTGCCAATTGTGAAGCCAAAGGGAAGAAGCTGGTTTTCATTTGGACCAGTCATGATGCATATCTTCTGCCCCTCACCCCACGATGGCTCTGATCTTTGGGGGGGGTGGAGAAAGGTTTGCAGTTAATGTCACGCCTGGTTTCTCCATCCGGGGATTTGTCCATTCTGAGCTTCTTCCATTAAATCTTCTGAAATTGCCATCTGAATGGATAGCTTCATATTTGATCCGGATCGTAGTGGCAGGCGAGTTCTTTTTTTTTCTTTCACTTGACTTCTCCTGATGGGGCAGCCACTTCTGTCACTTTCAAAATATTAGCAGCAGCCTTAACTGGCAAGCGACATGGCATTTAGGGGCTTTTTTTGTTTTGTTTTTTTTGTTTTGCAAATGGGGATTGTTGCATCCGAAACTTTCATTGCAAGAATTGCCACAGGCTGTCATTTTTGTCTCTTATCCAGTACATATTGGCAGGAGTTTTGTGTACTAGACTTCATGTCTGGTCGTAAGAGGAGAAAAAAAAGGGCCGCTAAACCAGACTGTTTTGATACTCCTTTAGAATTAAAAGCATATGAAACAGATGCATCTTGATAATTTTTTTTTTATAAATAACATCAACTTAAATAACTTAAAACAATAACGTTCAATTATAACTTAAAATAAAGTTTAATGCTGTAACCACAGAAAAGCATGAATATCGGTTGGAAGAAAAAAAAAAACTTAGAAGCCATATGCCCAAACAGGAATTATATAAAAAGATTAGGTTATGTTACATAAAAACCCATATGATGTTGTCTGAATTTTTTTTAACTTCATCGTTACATAAAAGGATATTTTGAGGAAAGTGAGATGAAATACATTTCCCTTATTAATATTATTTAATATTACACTATTTTGTAACATCTTTCAGAGCAGCATTAGGCATTCTTTCTGATAGATATGAATACATTGCAGTGATGCAACTTTCATCTGTCATATTACCTTTATTGTCTTGAATACCACAGCGTTCCAATTTCAATTTGCTTTAATACTTAAAACCTTTATTTTCATTTTTTTTCCCGGGAAGTATTTAATACTGCTTAGCCTTCACGATTCGTACTGACTTGATCATCTGAAGACTTAATCCAGCAGCCATCAAGTCCATCATATTTTACATAACATTTTTCATCTGCTTTATTATTATTATAGCAGCCATGTTTAACGAAGCAGATAGGTTTATTTTAAATAAAAGATCGTCAGATAATCAAGTCGTGAACAAGGCGTAAAGGGTACATTTAATTTAAGAATCTGCAAAGCTACTCTTATGCTAACGTAAGGATCGTACAACTCTTTACAATTTTTTACAACTTTTAGTTACTAAATCTGAAGTAGTGTATATTTTCATTTATTTATTTATTTATTTATTTATTTATTTATTTATTTTTTAAAGCCAGTCTCTTAAAAATAAAACATCGTGCTCAAGTCCAGCTTGTTCAGTTTTTCAGTAGTATTCCAGCTTGTCTTCCTTTCATACAGTCCCTTTTTCAAATGATACATATATATCTATATATCTATATCTCATTTGATATATAAATATATATATTTTGCTGGAACTGGTTGTCCATAGTTCATATAAGATTAGGATATTGTAAATGGAAGAAAATGGGAGGAAGTGTCTTCTTTGCTTGTTTTCTGGCCTCTTTTAGGGGCTCCATTCTGTTTTAACGCGATGTACATTTCTTTCCCCTTGTGAGTCCAGTTTGCTGAAGCGTAGGTGTTATAGTGATTCTCTTGAATGAGTTCTACGAAGTTGCAGTCTTCATTGCACACTTTCTGTTGTTTAAAAGAAAATGAGAGGATCAGTCGAATACCGAAAATACCTGGCAGGGATTTTGTCTATCATTTCACAAAAATCCCATTGTCCTTGAACTAAGGTAGTCCTTGAGTTACAACTGCAATGTAGCCTACCCTTTTTATGACCTTTTTTTTTTTTTTGCAGCGGTCATTTAAGTGAACGCGGCCAGGGGTGAAACGTAAAATTTGTTACTACTGGTTCTGTGGGCGTGGCTTGGTGGTTGGGGGGGTAATGCGACTGGGTGGGCGTGGCCAACTTTTTTTTTTTTTTAACTTTTCAAAGCATTTTTTCTAATGCTTTGAAAAGCCTCTCTGACGATCAGGCAACTCAGCTGGGATCGTCAGAGACTTTTCAAAGCATTTTTTTTACCACCTCTTCGGCCAAGAGGTTGCAGAAAAAAATGCTTTGAAAATCCTCTGACGATCCCAGCTGAGCTGCACGTTCATCATAGGCTTTTTTTTTTTTTTACTTTTAAAAGCATTTTTTCGTCGGAAGAGGTTGTAGAAAAAATGCTTTTAAAAGTAAAAAAAAAAAAGCCTCTGATGATCGTGCGGCTCAGCTGCGCATGGTGGGGGCCGCAGGGATTTTTGCTACCGGTTCTCCGAATCACCCGCCGCCATTGCTACCGGATCAGGCAATCCGGTCTGAACTGGGAGCATTTCACCCCTGAACACGGCGGACATTAAGCAAAGCCATTGTTCGCTATGATGTGCTTTTGCCAAAAACTAGAAATAAGAGCTGATTTTTTTAGCAGAGGTCATCATATAACATGGTCACAACACCACAGATGTGACTGTGTTGTTGAGCACCTGAAGTGCAGTCACTGGGGGAGGGCGGTTCAAATGTCGCAACTTCAGGTTGTAAGTCCCCTTTTTTGTAACTTGAAACTCAGCGACCAGTTGTAAGTCGAGGACTACCTGCATGCAGTACAATTCACTTAAAATGTACCTGGTGACTATGCAAATGCCTTACATTTTTTAATAAGCACCGATATACATCAATAACATTCCTGATGCTGCTGAACAGCTGTATCATCCAAAGCGAACAAGGTCAAATGCATGGGCTGCTGGGAGTTGTAGTTCAGCGTTTAATCTGCCTCGGGGAGCGAGGCAGGATAAAGGTGGCATAGCTGGTTAGGAGAAGAGCCCAAAGCAAAATAGGCAACTAAAGTAAATCAGAGCCTAAAAAGAATCCCAAAACTGCCAAGAAACCACGGATCATCCTGCCAGCAGCTTCTTCTTCCTGTTTGACTTTTGTTTGGCTCTTCTTTCTTTCTTTTTTTTTTAAATGTGGCTTCTGGGAGAATGAAGTCAAAACAGAGAAAACTCTGATCTTCAGGAAGTTTGCATTCCAACGCAACTGACCGTAAATGAGAGCCATTCATAAAAGCCACCAGTCGTATGCCATCATCTAGCACAGAGGTCTTCAAACTTGGCAGCTTTAAGACTTGTGGACTTCACAACCAGCTATGCTAGCTGGAGAATTCTGGGAGTTGAAGTCCACAAGTCTTAAAGCTACCAAGTTTGAAGACCTCTGATTTAGCAACTCCCACGGACTGGGACCAATAGAGTATAAAACAGCAACCCCCAAGCCTTTTGGGCACCAGGGACAGGTTCCATGGAGAGAGGTTTTTCCATGGACAGGAGGGGATGTGGTTTCTTGTGCTGCCTGCATCGTGCAGATGGGGCTTCTGCTTGCTTGCGCGGCCCGGTTTCTGGCATGCCACGGACCTGTGCCGGTCGAGGGACCGGGGGTTGGGGACACAGCTGATCAAAACAAAAAACAAACAAACAAACAAACAAACAAACAAACAAACAAACAAACAGCAAAAACAACCCAGGAGCAAACCTGTTTTTCATTTAATGCAAGTGGCTTCTAATAATTATGCCAGTACCTTTCCATAAAGCTTCCCAGACTTGTTCATAGCTAGAAAGTATTCACTTGCGACTCCTTTGATTGCCACTATTCCAACCGCCACCGTTCGTATTTCGAGAATACCTGCAGGAAATAACAGTGAGGTCCATAATCTTTGTCTCTCTTTATGATGTAACATTGCAAAGCTGAGCCAAAGGTGCTTTTTCTTCTAAAAGGCAACTGGACTTCCTTGCTTTTTTTCTTTGAAAATGCTTCGCTTCTCATCCAAAAAGGTTATTCAGTTCTGGCTTGAATGGTGGGGGAATGGAAGGATTTGTATGCTTTGCAGTCATCTGATCATTAGTACTCTCTCTGAGAGCTTTTGAGGCCTCTTGGGGGTTTATCTGTGCCCTCAGGGTCACCTGAATCAGAGTGCAACTGGGTGTGGAACGGGTGGAATTCAAAAAGTTTAGCAACTGGTTCTCTGCCCGGTTGCTGGATGGATGTGGCCATGGTGGGCATGGCCTACTCTCCTGCACCATTGTGCGGGTGGGTTTTCGCCCTCCCCAAGCTCCGGAGGCTTTTCTTGAGCCTCCGGGAGGGCAAAAACTGCCTCCCCTGGGCTCTGGAGGCCTTCCAGAGGCCGGAAACGTACTCATTTCCGGAACTTCTGGGAGGCCCATTTTTCACCCTCCCCAGGCTCCGGAGGCTTTCCTTGAGCCTCCAGGAGGGTGAAAACAGCCTCTCCTGGGCTTTGGAGGCCCTCCGGGAGGCCCATTTTTCACCCTCCCAGAGCCTACGTGCGGATGCTGCACTTACCTGGCATCCCAAACCGGCCGCGTGGAGACTCCTGGGAGGGGAGGGGCGGGGTGGGGTGGGCGGGACCAGCCAGTCCTTGCAACTACTGGTTCAGGGTACCAGATGTAAAATTAGCATCCGGTTTGCCTGAACCGGTCTGAACCGGCTGAAGTGGAACCTTCTTGGTGCTGCTGAAAAGACTGTATTATTGATGGGAGAGAGGTGGTATCATATCCCTCCTCTTTCAAGGAAAAAACCCAAGAAAGTCCAGTTGCCTTTTGAATAGCACTTTTGGGATCCAACCATGACCTGAATGACACAGAATCTCCATAGACATTGCAAAGCTGCTTTGTTTAAATAATTTGTTTCTTTTTATTTATAAAACCTTGGCTACTTTTTTCCCTAAGGAAGGTATAACAAACATAATATTCCTCATGGTTTTAAAGGCTATGAATGGGTGTCTGATTCACACGATAGATACCCCCGTGTTCTACAGTATTATATACATAAATTGCACTAATCTCTACACGAGTTTGTGAATAAAGACATTGAATGTTTATGTCGCTGTTCATGATTTCATTTCCAAATTGAATCCTTAGGACTCCGTCATTTGTAAAACAAATAAAATATCTTCTGTGGTTAGAATTACTGTTCAGATGGAAATGAATGCACTTCTGGGTTTTGAAACTGACAAGAACAGAGATTAAATCAAGATTCACAGAATTAGGGGTTGTTGCTTTTTTTTCCTTCTCAACAAAGCTTACCTTGAAAAGGATATTTAAGAAATTTACTAGAGGGTTGCTCCCTTTGAGAGCACTAACTTTAGAACTTGTAAATGATGGAAAACAGATCACGGCAACCCGACAAGCAGATAAAAAGTATTTGTCTGATCTTTTAGGGCCATTAAAAGCTGATAACCTCTGAAAATCAATTTGTGCCATGCAGAGACGTGGCTTACTGCTATTTTTTTAAAAAAAAACAATAGATCCATTTAGGATACAATTAGAAAGCTCCAACTTTAATTTTTGTGTTCCCTGAACTGGGATTACTCCACCACCAGAGAAACAGGTCTGCAGAACAAATTGCTACAAGCAATCCAGATCTAATTCTGCTTGATGAGATTTTTGAATGAAGATGAGCCTCAGAGTTTTAGAGAGGTTCAGAGATCACGCATTATGGTAATTCACATTTGCTCAATCATAATTTACCCAACAGATCATACAATATGCTAAGCCCTGTTTTATAAACTATAGTGACTTCACACAACAAGTAAACCTCAAGGACATTCAAATTGCATTTATGGCGTAGTTCGATGTGGAAACATTGCCATTTAATGGTTTTTGATAAATTGGTGCTCCTATCGTTATGAATGGGTTTTCTGTGCTAGCATTTTTGTACTGTCTGACCTGTCTTGGTGCATAGATCTCACTGTGCCTTGCCCATGTTAGTAGTTCCGACAATAGCTATGCAAAAAGGGATTAGACTATTTGTTTCAACATACTTTTTCCTATTTTGAACATTGCTTAAAATAAGCCTTACAAATACAGAAAAAATTTCAAAGGTACACGGGAAAAGGTTGAGGAAATAGGCAAACAAACTAAACAACAATATCTTTCTTAAAAATTAAATTTCAAAAATATGCCACGGATGCTTTCGTTTCCTTAAAGTACAGCTGTGCAATTGTTCTGATGTTTAGGCTAAACCTCATAAAGTGAAAGATTAAATGAATTTCTTTCTACTTCTGGAACGGTTAGTTGTTGTCAAAATTCACAGCAATGACCAGCTGGACTCTGCAAATAATGACTTCACTATGCTGTTTCTTGATTTATGAGCTATTCTCTTTATAAATGAATTTATAAGTGATGTATTTGAATACAAAATGATATTTACTCCTCCCCCCCAATGATTTAAGTGATAGCTAAACACAATAGAATTAGTGATAGTTTCATAATATTAGGCATTGCTCAGATTCCAAAGAATTGTGCTAACATTCAAATATTTCTCAATAGCATATGTATTTACATATATACATACATATGAGCCTGTACATTGCATATGCTAAGCAATTTATATATAGCATCTTGGGGAGGGCGGTCTTCAGATTTTTAAAACCACTTGAGGCAGCGCAAATCTTAAATGCAACTTTAAGCTCTTTGAAACTTGGTGATGACTTATCATATAGCCATTTGAATAAATATGAATAAGGAATGAGGAGGTTGATGCTGTTCTAAATGCGTTTGCTTATAGTTTAATGAAAGATGCTTAAGATGGATCATCTTGTTGCATGATTCATTTTCAGGATGCTATTCATTTAGTGTTAAAAGAGTTTTTAAAAAGTGTACATGTGGCCTTCATTTCAATATTTAGATAAGACTCTAAGCGCACCAAAGGAGTATTCTATGCAGATATCTTCACAGATTATAAGGATGCCATTATTCTTTGAATACAGAATACTTCTAGGTGTAGTCAGTTTAGTTTCTTTTTTAGTATAATTTTATGCCTTAAGTATTTTACCAAAGATTCAATGTTTGCAATATACTTTTTACACAGCTAAAGTAGAAACAAGGGGTCTTTGGTGCTCTCTGAGGTTGGTGGTTTTTTTGCAGACATTTCATTAGCCAAACTAGGTAACATCATCAGTGCTATTAAAAAGTGAGGTTTGCTCTCAGTTTATATTTTAGTAGTTTGCTCTGGTTACATTAGAATATAAACTGAGAGCAAACCCCACTTTTTAATAGCACTGATGATGTTACCTAGTTTGGTAATGAAACGTCTACAAGGAAACAGCCAAGCTCAGAGAGCACCAAGGACCCTTCATTTCAACCCTGAGCTACAAATAACCTCCTTTATTGGTAAAGTAGAAACAGCCTGACAAAAAGGGCACTGTTGTTGAGGTATTCCGATATATTTTTACTGATTTCCACACAGACATAGCCATTCATACACAAAATACGTTTGGCAATTCACTCTATCTTTCCTTGAAGTGAAAGGCTGTTCTGGATATACAATGCCTATAACTATCTTAGAAGTACATTGGAAACTATCCTAACACAGGTCTGGCAATCATTAATTCTATTCTATATAACATTTCTAAAAAGTAATGTGATACAAAGTTAGTAATATTACTGTCCAATATACTGGCTAATTTCCAACATTCTCTCCTTATGTGTCATAGAGCCCTTAGTTCTATCAGTTTCCAGGACATATTCAAAAATCCTTCCTTCCTTCCTTCCTTCCTTCCTTCCTTCCTTCCCTTCCCTTCCTTCCTTCCTTCCTTCCTCCCTTCCCTTCCCTTCCCTTCCCTTCCCTTCCCTTCCCTTCCCTTCCCTTCCCTTCCCTTCCCTTCCCTTCCCTTGACATTCTAACAAATTTAAAAACAATTGTTCCAGGCCTGCCTGCTTTAAGAAATGGCAATAATATAGGTTGACTCAGCCTTCCATCCTTTCTAAGGTAGGTAAATTGAGGACCCAGTTTGTGGGGGCAATAAACTGACTTTGTATAAATATACAAAAGTATGAAGGCTATTGCTTAACGCATTGTAAGCCGCCCTGAGTCTCCGGAGAAGGGCGGCATATAAATCAAATTGAAAAAAAAAATAGAAAAAAAATAATATAGACTCATTGCTGTTCAGAATTGCCATGTTCAACAATTCTACAGTATTCTGTCTCTTTAAACACGAGAATCTTTATCATGTCCTTGAAATCTCGAATGAGATATCCCATGGTGTGTTTATGGTAAACAGGATGGGCAGCAACCAGAGCAACCAAACTGTAGAAAACCAGTTTATTTGCTATGCAGTTGTATTGCGGCTGCACCAAGTGAAACTAAAATGCAGCTCTAAAGGAGTCAGCATAAAATTCCCCATAATGCAGAAGGATTGACTAAGCACTGCTTGTCAACAGTAATGCAAATGAGTCCTCAGCATAACAATTATTCTCCTTTACACAAACATTAGATCATACAGCTTGGTGTTCTTTAATCACAGCTCAGAATTCCCAGCAGATAAAGTCAGCTTTTATCTGACTTCATGTTTTGGGAATTGCACTGGCCAGTTACTTTTCAGGATGCTTCATTGATGTCTATGCTCCAATAAGACAAAGTATTATCATTTTCCATCAATTTCCATATTTTCTTGCTTCCAGAAAGAAGAAGCAAACAAATGTGGCTACAGAGCAAGTTAAGCTTTGTGCAAGAAATCCAAAGTACCATACAATCCTTGACTTAACAAAGTTCGTTTAGTGACCATTCGAAGTTATAATAGCATTGAAAAAGAAGTGATTTATGATAGTTTTTCATGATGGTTGCAGCATCCCCACGGTCACTTAACAACTGAGGCAAGAAAGGTC